GGCAGGAGCCCGCCCGGCCTGGCTTCTCCCCCCTCCTCAGCCAGGCAAAACCCGCCTCGCAAGCGCCTGAGGAGCCGTGCCGGGCTGCGGAGCTCTGTGGGAGCAGAGGCGGCTAAGGGAGCCCGAAAGCCGCCGGGCAAACTGCCTGTGAGGGAGGCGGGCTCCCAGAGCCTCCTGTCAGGGCCACCTCCCTTACTCGGTCTTTAAACACGCCTCTCGCTATCGCGGGGGGGAAAATCAGAGAAAGGGTGACGTATTTTATGTCACCTCTTATCATCAGTTGCCACCAGTTTTGAAATAAAACTCTCAGCTGGGGCGAGGCAGCTTGCTGCCCTAAGCGCGTGCGTTTCCGGCGGCGGCAGGCGCACCGTGCCCCTGTGAGGACGTGTCCGTGGGGACGGCGTTCTCAGCCAACGTCTTGTACCTGCGTGTGACTTCTCGGGTCTAGGCTGTTTGGGCAGCATTAGGAGGAAAGTAATAATTGCATCCGGCTTCTAAACGCCATGAAAAAAATTGCTCCCTTTAGTTATTGCACCAGCATCGAATGGAAAACACTTCATGTTTACTTTCAGAGAAGATGGATGCTGTTGGCCTCCAGTCAACTGCGACTAACAGCGCTCAGAGACGAAATCAAAGTGCCGCTATCAGAAGTTACTGCAGTGGTCTCACCTGCTCCCGTTTGGTTTGAACGCCCCGCAGGAACAGGGGGGATTGTTAGTAACTTGTCACTGCGTATTTCACGAGCAAAACCAGTTGCAGTGCGGAAAGGCCGCACCTGGGACAGCGGCTGGCACCACTGGGATGGAGCAGGTTTGTCCCCATCAATGCTTCAAACCCTCTCAGACCACAGGGGTGGGAGTCGAGTCACCTGGAAATGAGGATCGCTCCCTCTTAGCAACGATCTGAATTCCTGCGTGAACTGGTGCCTGTGTGTACACGGACACTGGGGGCAATGGGCAAAGCAGTTGGCTTTGCGGGCAGTACCCTGGCTGCCAGTACAGGTGCAGTCAAAGCCAGCAGTGAAAGTCAGCAATCTGTGAATAGGCATGAGGCCAACAGATCCTGATGTCTGTGTTTGGTAAAGCCCTTATTTTCCTCCAAACTGAGAACTGCAGCATTATTCTCCAACACAATTACGTGAAAGGTCACCTGAGCATCTTTGAGAGGACAGTGGTAGAGGAGCTCCAAGTGTTACATGATTATCTTTCAACCTCTGCAAAATGTTGGTGTGTTGCAGGAAGCGACCTAATGCCACATGTACTCTACAGATCTCAGTGCAGAGATGTTTCATAAGAATACACTGGAGGTTGTTTCAACTCCTGTGAGCTCAAAACACCACTGATAGTTCCACCTTTGCTGTCTCATAACATGTTTTAGTACAGAAAACTACCCAGTGCCGTGCCAGGTCTTCCTAACATCGGTATTAAAAAGGCAAAGTATGCTTGCTATCCAAAGTGGGAAGGATCAGCCAGTTTGCAAAGAAAACTAACGGTATGAGGAAGCACTTTACTCAATTATAATATGACTATGTGAAGTAGGAGAAAAGTGTGCCCTGCATGGTGCTGCTATGGTTAAAAAGCATCCCGCAAAAATGATGTGAATAGGAATATGGCTATCACATAGAGGAGACTCATGTACAGATCACTCATACACAGCACCACAAACCTGGATGAAAATGTTACAGGCTCTACCATAAGCAACTACCACAAAGAGCTGGACACAACTCATCAGCTGTGTAACAATTAGGTTATTAGATCAGATTTAACCTAACCAGGAATCTGGTGAGGGGTTTAGAACTGGAAGGTTAAAACCTTCTCTTGTTCGAGATTTTTTCTTAATAAAGAGCTTGTAGCTGAATGGTAAATAAGGTTTAGACCTGTTAGAAGATTAAGTGTTCTGCTCTGTTCCTAAGCTTACATTTAAGGCAATTAATAGTTCTTGAGGTCTGGACGGTAGGGATAGGCATGCATTTTCTTAATTCCACTAGCTGAATGAGATCTGAATGACTTTTGCCTTACATTGTCACGCAAAGGCTGGCACGGCTTGCAGCGAGGTAAATCAGCGGTACTATAAGATTATCCATCAGTGATCCATTAGAAGAGTAATACATCATAATATATTACAGCAGATTAAAAATGTGTAAAAAAAATCCATTAAAAAATAATAGTAAGAATGGGTCTGTTTGGATTTTTTTTTTACTTCAGTTTGCCTTCTTATTTAACTTTCCAGTTAAAATGGATGAAGTTGATGAAGAATTAAGTTTATAAAGAATAAAGAAGTTACAAACCAGCAGATTCACTCCACACCTGCATTATATTTGTTGCTTCTCAGAAACACGAGGTATACAGGGGATATAGGGTGTGACATGTATAGAGATACATATTTCCTTCCTGGACCCACAGGCATGAGCATGGGCAACAACCTTGGTTTTACAAGTCAGGATCCTGAGATCATTTTTCCTGACTTCCTCCCACTCTCTCCAAGCCAAGACTGCAGTCCCGTGCTTTCCTTTTTTCACTGCATATACTCATTTCATCAGCCTCTGCTCCCACATCCTCAACAAGGGAGTACAGATGGAGCAGTGTCTCTAGGTGATCAGCTAGGACAGGCACTGGACCAAGACGGACGTTACCGATTGACATCATGGCAAGCCGTTGTCAGCTGGGTGACTCTGTGTAGTACCTTTTTCGGAAGTCAGCTTTATCAGAGTCCAGTGTTAATGGGGCGCTCCCGATGTGCGACACGGATATGCTTTATGGACCAGCAATGGGTCGCAGAGCAGAGCAGAGCTTAGGGGGTTCTGGATCACATGGTGCTAACAGCCATTGTTGTCCCCCAAACAGTGAGCCATAAAGCAACAGCAAATACAGAAAGTGATCATTACAAAGTGGCCTAATTAGGTTTGCCATCTACTTGCTTACAGTGTTATGAATCACTTTATCAATAGGCATTATAGCTTTAAATAAAGTTCTTACTTTGTGCAGTAATTATAGTCTAAACCCCCTGTACAGTCTATTCAGCTCAAGAAAGGTGAATGACATTGTTAGCTTTGCAGCTTGAATTGAAATCCTTAAGTTTTACCACCCAGAGAACGGACACCCTCTGGTGTCCTCGACCTAGACCCTTAGAGACCCACAGGCAACAAACTACCTGCAGCCAAATTAATGATTTTTCTTGATAATGCTTCACCTTTTAAGTTTTTATAATACACCATGGTTTAACTTGCTGATCATTTGAAATAGTCAAATGAATATCACTCGTGAATGCAAATACAGAAATTCCTCCCGACTGGTTGCTATTCACTCTTCGCATCAAAGGTCTACCAGTCACTCTGCTATCATCTCTGAGTGACCTACACAAGGGGAATTGGTTTTTAGTTAAGTTATACTTAAAAGTATAACACTCACCATTTCTTGATAGCTCTGTTCTGCAAGCTCCTCAAATGAGGGCACAAGCCACTTCATTGTGAAGGCACGTTTTCATTGTCCTTCAAAACACTTCTGCCTTCAGGAGCACAGATTTACCTGGTAACTTGCTCACAAGTAAAGAAAAAAACCCAAATACCTGGGAAGTATCCAGCAGATTTTCTTCTCAAGGATGTGTTGGTAAATACCTCTTATTTGTAGCTTTACAGTTGTGCCCCGTATTACCAGGAGATTCTGATTAAATTCTCATTAATTTCGGCATCATAGAAAAGGAGCCTTAACATTTCATGTGGGTGTTAAGTTCAATTAGAACTTGTGTTCTCACTCTCCCTGAATTAATATTCATGTATAAAGAGCTGTAAGAGCTTTTTAAAAAAGTAGGGTGTTTCAGCCCCCACTGTAGAACTTCTTGGTGTGTATTTTGTTCTCTCCATGGTGTAAGCTACACAAGAAAAAAATGTACTGTATCATGCCAAAGCGGGTTTCTCAGTTCATCGAAAGATTGTTCCACAAATCCAGTCAGTCTGTCGTAAAGAGCTTGTCTGCTTTAAGACTCACTCCAAACATATTCTTTCACATTTTCTCCTGGGCAAAGTTCCATGCTATGCCTGGAAATAAGTTTTGCTATAAAAGACGTTTTCACTGGACTGGGAACACAGACAACGTGTATGTGTTCAAATTTTTAGGGTTCGGGGTTTTTTTTTAATTGTGTTATTAATAAACCTTATGGACGTTGTGTTCTATTTTACTATTTAGCTCAGGTTTTTATTTTCTTCTGTCTTGTGCAAACTCTATTTACATTCCACAGGAAATTAGAAAAAGGTCTGCAGAATTTGGCTCCTGATTACTGTTATTTGTTTTCTGTAACCTTTGTTGAAAAGGGTAGGAGATAGCAGCCTTCCTTTCCGAATACCTACCAGCGATGCGGTCATCTCCCGGTTTAGGCTGCGTGACACACAACTAAAGAATCAAGATGACAGCTGCGTAATAATATGAAAACTTCACTTACCTGCATACAAAAAATGAACCATTTAAACAGTTTCACTGCTGATTTCAGAATAAGATTGCATTTGGAAGCACTTTTTCTCCTCAATTTCTGGATGGTTTATAAGAACAAACTTGCAAAGGACACCGATAGAATAAATGCAGCATAATACTTTGTGAATAATGCTGTTCTTTTCTTAACTGTCATGTAAAACCAGAGTGACTTCCAGTTTACTTCCCGAATCTGAATATGTTGCACACATATGGCAGAAATGTAATTTAATGTAACTTTAATTTTATGCTAGGGTTTGTTCCTCTAGAATAGCTTGATAAGTTGATTGTGCCATAAAATACCTAGAACTTGTAACACAACAGCCTCCCTGCAATACAAAAATATGTAACCAAAAGATGTTGAGGTTTAAATGTTTCTACATGCCACAAAAATCACGCTAACCAGTATTAGTCGTATTTACAAATTCTCTTAAAACCGACACATGCGCACACTTCTTTCCTCTTATATGCTAAAAAAAAAAAGGCTGTGTATGAATTTTTCAAATCAATATTAACCTTTTTTTCTTAAGCTATGAAAAATGTAATCTATTTCTGTTTGGGAATTATTACCAGGCAAGCTGATGTTCTGCTGGATGCTGTTAAAGCTTTTTGGTGCAGTAAATATTGTTGATATAATTTCACTGACATATGGATCAGAATAATACAGATAGTTCATAGCCAATTGTTTGAAATACATTTGTATACGAGCATCTAAGAGGAGTGGGAAATAAAACAAGAGCTTGTAAAACTTGCTGCCAGTGTCTAGATCAGTAAAGAAAGACGTGATTGAAAACATACCAGAGTTTTATAGCAGAGAAAGGATTGCTATCTTATACAAGGTCGAATACAGAGAAGAAAAATTATCATGCTTTATTTGAATAAAGTATAAATATTGATTAGATTTAACATAAGAGCCTGGAAATAAAAAAATTTCTAAAAATATGTGATGAGCTATTAAATATTCACCCAAGAATCAGAATAATAAGGTGACCAAGAAGCGGGCTAGTATATAAACTGGAACAAACAGAGAATTACAAGCAGCCTCCTTGCAGTGTAATCGATCAAAGACAGTTGCACTTAAAGTTAGGTGTGTGAATGCGTACTGACAGGGTCCATTACTAGCACAAATACAAAAATGAAATAGCCATTTCCCAGGGAACTGCAATCTCTGCAGCTGATGACTACCTTCTCGAAGGTGAGTTGGCTCGTTCGCTCTCGTTGTAACCCTCCAAAACTTCAGGGCTTAAGAGAAGGAAGCATATCCTCAGTCACCAGCAATGCTCTGAATGTGCCCATCGTTCCTGTCACCTCCAAGGAGTTATTTTTGTCCTCCTAATCGTCACAGCAGTTAACTACTCATGTGTGGCGTTCTCTAAACGCCTGTGAATGACAAAGACGATTCATGACCAGCAAAAAGAAGAATCAAAAGCTAAGCATTTTATTTTTGGAGAAGTGAAAACAAGAATAATTTACCACCCCTGATTAAATTAGTCAATATATTTTTAAAGCAAGGCACTTTCCAAGCTGCATGACCTGTCCCTGTGTGGGTCGAGGAAGCGCAAGAGCTGGCCTCATATGGAGGTGGACAGCGTAAGAAGAAATAACTGTAAGTTATTCACAAATGCATTAAGTGTGGCTAAGACAGTAGAGCAGGCATGAAGCCTACAACTCACTTGGCAGGGCGTAACTGGGTAAAAACAGTTCCCTGAGAGGTCAGGTAATCAGCATGACAGGTGGTTGTATTGTTATCCTACAGGCATTATAAGATAGCCATCAAAACTGGCATGTAACACATGAACTTCAATGGATACTAAATAAGGCATGAAACCAAATTTTGCCGCCTGATTTCCAGCAACCTTTCTAGTTCAGCCACACCAACTTACCTATTTTTACTTGCAGAAGGGAATTTCATTTCTATTCCAGCGTTGTAGTTGGCATCTCAAAATACTAACATCAGACAGACATAGCTATCCCACCTCCAAAATGCTTCTCTGACTTAAACAGTGCTCTGAAAGAAACATCCAAGATTCTGATATATAGTGAAGAGCAACATTGGCCACGGTTGCTGGCAACGCAGGAGGAGATTCTCATTTTGAAAGGAAACCTGGAATGTCAGAGTTGCAAAGTTAAACAGCAGTTTCAGGCTAGCTGGCTATCATGGAAAGGGATGGAGATAACGCCTTGGTTTCCTAACGCCACTGTTTGAACTGTGGTTTCCGTCCTGGCCATCTAAATATACAGAAGACCAACAACGGCGAAATGGTAACCTGACCTTCCTAATAACAAGTATGAATTTGGAAGCCCCTTCTACCCCTTTGCATTCTTTAAACTGCTGCACTGTTGCTGAAGTGGACAGGGAGGGAAAAGGATTTTAGTGTAGACCTACTACACCTCTCACATACAGATTACAGCTGTTAAGAACAGGCAGACCATTTTTTCCGAGTTTTACAAAACATGTCCTTAGGCAGTAGTTTCCAAACCACTTAGTCATTTTGAATTTTAAGTATCATGAAAATGTTTAATTTCCTCCACAAAGACTCAATCCTTACCCACACAAAACAGGAAAATTGGAAGGTTTTGAAGTCTTTAATTCTTTCTCACCCACTTAACAAGGAATTTGGTAAGGATGATGTTACCAGAAACTGAATCAACCACCTAGTGAGACATTTATCTCATGCTTCTGCTGAAGAAGTAACATGGGAGATTTGAGAATATGAAAGAGCAGCAGAGTATGCAAACCGTCAGGGTGTTTTGTAGACTGCAGCAGCTTTTGAGATAGAGCACAAGGATTTAAAAAAATCTCATTTAATTATTTCATCTCCCACTGTTACTGTCACCTTCTATAAACAACTGAGTAAAGAAAGATGAACTAGGAAAAGTAAACTAAAGCTTAATTAAGAAGGTATTTCTCTTTCTTTCCTGCTCAGGCCCATGCATGTATCTTGTCCCTAGGATACGGCAGACATGCCATTTCCTTACTCTGCTAATTAGAGGCACCATATTCCCTGAACAGAGCGCTGGAGGTATATTCTCAGCCATTCATTTTTAAAACAGAATGACAGACCCGTTTATAACCTAGAAGTAACAAGTATTCGTGTAAACACAGCCTATGTGCACATAGCCGCTTTAATCAAATTGACATTTCACGCCTTTTCAAAACCAGAACTGTTCCAAAAGAGATCAACACTGAAAGCCTTGGATATGACACCAAAAAAGTTGTACTACGTGGAGACAGGAACATTTTTCAGGCTACCACTGAAAGCCTATGGAGGCCTGAAAGACGTGAGATCTAAGTATTACATCTGAATACAACTGAAGCAACGGAGAGGCAGAAAACAGCCCACCAAGCAGGATATCTGTAAGATATCAAGGGACTAACGAAAATCTACCCAACATATCTATGGCATGATATGAGGATGTACAGACCAGGAAATACCCAACTTGGGTATTTAAAGATGCCTATCACAAACTGAATAAATAGTGCTGCCGATGAGCGGAATTTTCTGCGTGTTTATGCAGGGATAGATAACCAATTTAAAGTGGCATTATAGAAGAAAATAACCAGGAGGAGAATTCATAATGCAATGTATAAAGAAGTGGCACGGGAGGGGATGCGTAGCTTTCCTCCTTTGGATTCGGGCTGTTAAAGCTTTGTCAGCTCATAGCGTTACATTTGCCCGTCATACTGCTCTCACAAGGAAACCTGCATGACAAATGCACTATGAAGAAGAGTGTTCTAGCTTTGTAAGGTTGTGTTGGACTTGGAGGAGCCAATAGGTGCCAGCAGGTCAGCAGCTGCGTGTTGAAATACCAGGACTGGCCTAAGTCTGGAGTACCTGGAGTGCCAGCAGCTCCTCAGGGACAAAGGCGCCTGAGATTCTGATTAAATCCTCATTATTTTCAGCATTATAGAAAAGGTACTTTAACACTTGAAGTGGATGTTAAGTGACATTCATCCGACGACCAGTCACTGACCACAGCCCTGGGGCGTCTGGTATCATCCCATGCCCACACTTCCATGGTGCCTGCTGCCGTCACCTGCCTGTACTTTTCTATGCTGTGGTTGATTGTAGGGTCATAAATAAGTCACTCTGGGCTAAGGACTACTTGTCATTGCTACCTATTAGTTACAGAAATACATATAACTGTAGGCACTAGCACGCACCTGTACAAAGCTAAGCAAAAGCTAGCTGGTTGTTAGTTAGGTAATGCTGTTACGACTTAGCAAACTAAACCAAAATGCCAGTCCAGGCACAGCCTGGCAAGTCCCGAGGCTGGTGTCCTTAGCTTAGCACAAAGCCTGTGGCCTACTCAATGCAGTGGCAACGCCATATTTACTGGGCTACGAGGCTCCACGTGCACGGACCCTCCTCAACACTGCCAGCTACAGAAGAGGGCACCACATGCGTAGGTGTCTGAACAGCACTTTAATGCTTTCGCCACATCTAAACCACTTTCTCAACAGCAGCCAACCTCTCCATCTTTAATGGGAAGGACAAACTCCATGTCTCTCAAATATCACCAATAACCTTGCTGGACACATTAAATGGAAACTCTGTAAATATGTTGAATATTAGAGCTGAGTATCACCCTGCACATAGCAAACAGGGTAAAGCTATTTAGGGAGGGCATTTCCATCTAAGAAAAGTGCCCAATATCTTGCAATGTATAATTTGCATAACCAAGAGATGGCAGCACTCCATCAACCATTTGTCTGAAGCATTTATTGGGGAATGGTCATGCATCTGTAAGCGGGATACCGCAGCGTGTGAACAACACTACAAGACTGAAACCAATGGAATAACAATGGAGCGAGACTGGTGATTATTATTCTATGGCTTTACAAAGGTCTGTAAAGATGAAATTCATTCACTAGTAACTTGAATTATTTTTTACCCAGCTTATACTAAGAATAGGACATAGCATATTTTTTTAATTTGGTTGTCTCATAGATGTATCCTCTCAAAACATGATAATAAAATGAACTAACTCCCCTTTCACCAAAACTTAAGAAGCATAAGAAGCATATATATATCAAATATACATTTCCATTTCAAGCATTCTCTCAGCCTTTTTTTTGGCAGCTGAAAAGTTCCCTGGTAATAATCTTAAGGATCAAGGCACCTCTACAAATTTCATTTATATCTATATATATATACATACAGCTGATTGTCTCTTGCAGACTGATGGTGACAGAAATTGGAGTTTAGCATTTCCCAAAGGCCTTCTGTGTCCCATATCATCAGTCTCACATGTATGTAAGAGTTTTGTCAGCAGCAATAATTAACCTCTTTTACCACATTCAGTCCAATTTACTTTTAGATTCTATGACCAGTGTACAGACTTCAGTAATGGTCTTCAAACAATGCTACATGGGGAATTAGGAGTACCGCTACATGGACACTATGATGTGATTAGGAAACTGGGTAAAAGGCAGATGACGATGAACTGGGCTGAAAAGGAAATTGTGGAACTGAGATGTTGCTGTTGGATGAGTTTTGAGAACAGCGCTATTGAACTTAATGAGGAAGCTCACAGCTAAAGCTGCCACAGGTTTCCACCTCTGTACCTTATCACTAGAACTCATTTTTCTAAGAAAAAGGCCAGGTTCAAACAACTTTGATTATATTTCAGAAAAATCCATCGCAAACAAACTGCATAACTTCAGTAAGGATCTTACTGGTTTTTTGCGTGTATATATTATTCTTGCTTTAAAATATCTGGATTGATTTTCTCCTATTGCAACCCATTTTGCTTTAATCTCTCTCAAACTTAATTTATGTTACACTTAATTCAATGCGATACACAAGGAGAATCAGTTTGTTTTCATAGAAAATACTGGATGTAAGGGGTTTGGGTTTTGTTTTGGATTTTCTTTTTAAATGTGACCTTGTTCTTCCATGATATCTGTCCCTACGGAAAATGTCCACCACTATTGCATTCGTTCCTGATATTTCTAATTATACAAAAGATGACCTTTCTTAGAAGACCAGCAAGTGGATTCAGTTTTGTTTAACAGCTTAAGAAATAACTACGCAGCAGAAGTACCACTCAAAAAACAATTCAATATTTCATCAAAAGACACTAAGTGTAGGCAGTAACTAGAAACTGGAATAGCAAGCATGTTTTTATTTATGTATCTTTTATTCTAACATAACATGTACATCTTAAATTACAACAGTCAGACTACATGAGACTACAGCTACCATGAGAACAAATCTCTGACTGATCATCTCTTTTTTTTTTATTTTTTCCTAAAGCATAAGGAGGCCACAGCATCAACTTTCTCCTCTTTCTCCCACAAATTAATCTTGCTGGCTATAATGAGCTCCAGTGTCACTGGAAGGATACCCATGGCATTGTACACACTAGCTAGATCGAAACACTCCAAGGAACTGAACAAGTTCTCCAAAATACAGATTGGAAGCTAAGTTTTTCTGACTCTAACTATTTCTATTTATGGGCCTGGAGTCCTCATTCATTATCAGTTCAATACATTTTCAGAGGGTGACAAATGAAAGTTCAAGAACGTATATTGCAAAGAATTTATAACAGCATGTTTCTTGAATTATGATTAACTCAACAGAAATCCTGTCTTATATAAATATGCTTTAAAAGACCAGACAAAATTAAATATAGTTCCTGGGAGTAAAAATAATTTTCTTTTTTTTTTCTCTCTGAGTTGATCAATTCTTCCGGAGCTCCTCTTCCACCCACAATGGGTTGTGGTTGTATCAGAATCAACAATCTATTTATAGATAAAAGGACAATTTTTTACTCAGCAGTTAGTACATTTCTACTGCTTTCAGTTGTATTCAGTATTCCTTTCAAGTTTTTTTTTTCTCCAGATAGAAAACTTCAGATAACGACTTTGAAGATAATTCCCATATCAAGCTGAAAGCACACAAGATAACTAAGGTTCAAAACTTTTTAAGTTCTGACTTAGAGAAGATAGGACAGCTCACTTCTTCCATTTCTTCCCAACACAGGGACCTCAGTGCAGTTCTGAAACATTGCTATTTAGTTCATTTTCTTTCTCTAGCTTCATACTTTCCACCCTGTAACTTTGCTTTGGATTCCTTTACCTGGTTCACACCCACAGGCTGCCCCACCAGTCTGCTGGGCAACCAGTCACAGTTTTGAGTGTTTTTTTTTTTTTAATTTCTGTGACGAAGACTTAATTTAAGTTTTCCACTCCCAATACAAGTCCTGTAAAACATGTTCTAAATGTTATACTGCCTACATGACTTAGGGATTGCTTTCACGAATGTTTATACAGAAAATAATTAAAAACATGCCACAGTGAAATCTCACACAATCCTTTCATGAACAAATTGATGGCACCTCATAAGTTGCATTCCTACAATTTTATTCAAAAGAACAAAATAAGTCAATTCAAAAATGCTTAAGGACAAAGGGCAGGACCACAGCTGAGTTTATATACAAACTTGCCAGCAGTATGTGTTTCAGGCTTAAATTTTGGGTTGAACCCTCCAGGGTGCTTGTGTCACATCTTGACATTACAAGGTGCTGGTGTAATTATTTGGGCTATGTAAAGGTATAACTTGCTTTGATGTCTCTGAAGGTATTTCTGCTTTACAACAACTTAAAGACCATCATGAGTTTCAGGGCATTATTTGATGAAATTTCAGACCAATGTAAAGTCAAATCAGTAGGAATACAAGCATGCTTAATGCTGAGCACATGTATGGATTTTTGCCTGCTGAAGAACTAAGTGAATGGATAAGAAAGAGGTTTTGATTGTGTTTCATGTAGAAAAACACGTTTTCATTATTCTTATCCATGCTAAGTAAACAGTTTGCTGAAATATTCAAGAACAAATTCCAAATTTTGAAGTCATTCACCAAAAAGCAAATGTACAGGATACGTCTAGAGTAAAACCAGATGATATCTTAAGTGAATGAAAGCCAATAAATAGCATGGTGTTGGAATTGTAAGATACAGTGGGTTTGGTGACAGAATTCAGGGGGGCAGAACCCAGCTGTGGTAGCCTGCCCCACATCAAAACTAAGCTGAAGGAAATTTAGGCAACCTCAAATCATATTTGTCAAATTATCTTGAACAAAAATTTTGCTTTTACCCTGCTTTTATAATAACAAAAACTATGATGCTATGCCATGGGAGAGAGCCATGGTTCATTCAGTTCCTAAACTAATCTTGGGAAGTTTCTCTGATCACCTGCAAAGCGATTTCTCAGTTTGGTGAAGATAACCACCATTAGAACTAAATGTTTCAGCATTAACACCTAGATCTCAGCTCCT